AAGGCCATTATCCAATGTGTTTGCATTTAATTATGGAGTGTAGAAGGGATTAGGACCTGTAAAACCAAGTACAAGCATGTTTGAAACTGATTTACAACTTGTACCAATGTGAAAAATGCCTTGAACAAAAGTGATAAATTGTCATTTTTCATTTCTTCGATTCTCCCTAATCATAAATGATCTTGGAGAGTTCTTGGACATTTTGGAAATATTGTAACATTCTATATAATCCATATTTGAAATGCATTTTGAGATTCCTCTTGGAACTAGGTGAAAAATTGCCATGAAGTTAGGTCAAAAATCTGCCTAAACTAGGGCAAAATTTCACTAAGTTAAAAAGTTTATGGACCCCTATTCACAAAATCATAACTTGAGATCCAAGCATCTTTTGGGAAAACTTTGTGAATAAAAGTTTTAGATTTTGTGGAGGACTACAACTTTCATGTTGGAAGTTTTGTTTGAATCCAATTTTATCATGGTGAAAAAGTTGGGAAAAGTTGGGAAAAACTAAGAAATTTTCAACACTTAGAAAATTTCTAATTTATGAAAAAATTTCAATTTAAACCCTAATTTTGAAATTTAAGTTTCTTGGTGAACAAGTTTCATGTTTTGACACATATTGATGAAATATGACCCTTGGAACTTGATTTTGACCAAAAAGTCAAAGTTTGACTTTTCAGTGTATAGTTGATTTTTGATCAGTTGATTGGAAAATTCATCTGTCAATCCAATACATTTGAGATCTTTTGAACCTTGTGGTTAGGTCAAGATGATATCATTGAGTCCTTGAAACCATGCTTGAACCCAATTTGCCATTGGCTAGGTGAAAAATCAGAAATTTCCCTTCCTTAGTCAAAACTCTAAAAATGACCATTTTGCCCTTTTGATGATTTGATCAAATTTCCTGAGGAGTTGTGGTCCAAACTTGATCAAATGGTTCATATGAGTCTATAATGTTGATGTGGATCAAAAATTATGAGGTTTGACTGTAAATTGGCCATGGTTGACTTTTTCCCCAATACAGTTGGTTTTTAGGTCAACTGTCCAATTGATTGGTCCAAAATGTAATTCAAGGCTTGAAACTTGGTATGAGAAATCTTAGAGGTCCAACATGAAGTATGAAAGTCCCATGAGGCATTGAAAGTCCAAAAATCCTTGTGCAAACTCAAACCCTAATTTCAGGTTATCGGTGCAAGGAGAGGTCTTAAGTTGAGCAAACCCTAACCTGGTCTTGAGTCCATGAAGTCTTGTGAGGAGAATCTTGATAAAATGAGAGGGAAAATTTTAGGGTACAATAGGGAGCAATGTAGTTGTGTGACCGAATTCTGAATCTTTTAGTATCCTATATTCAAAATGTAAAAAGTGTAAGAGTCCATAAGATGTATAAATCATTAATAATATTATAAAAAATTTATATGTATACAAGAATATTTGAGAATTTATAAAAAATTACAAACGCTACAAAGTTATCCCTTGTGCCTATGTGAGAATCTCCTATTGTCAGAAGAGTCATAGTTGAAATTGTATGAGATAATGAAAGAGTTTGTATCAGAGAGTGAGATGATTGTTGATGCAAAACAAGTATGTGAGGCTCTGTATTTATAGGCAAAATTTTATCACGGAGTGAATAAATGAGGTGGTTGGTGGGTGCATGCATGCATGATATGTGTCACTCATGAGGTGGTTGCAGTGTAGGTGCAGGCTAGGTGGCAGCCTTGGGGAAGGCATATCTTCATGCATGTAATACGATTGGACATGTAGGGAGGCGCCATTTGACTTGGCGAATGAGTACAAAATTGAAAGGTGTCGCCATCCTAGTTGGAGAATTAGAGGTGGCATGGGTTGCAGTGTAGGTGCAGGCTAGGTGGCATCCTTGGGGAAGGCATCTTTGCATGCATGTAATACGATTGGACATGTAGGGATGCGCCATTTGACTTGGCAAATGAGTACAAAATTGAAAGGTGTCACCATCTTAGTTGGCAAATTAGACGTGGCATGGGTTGCGGTGTAGGTGCAAGCTAGGTGGAAGCCTTGGGGAAGGCATCTCTGCATGCATGTAATATGATTGGACATGTAGAGAGGTGAATTAGAGGTTGCTTACTGTTGTTTTATTCAAATTCAGTACAACCTATTTAATCCTACATTTATCAAAACACTTCTACACTCAATCACTCAAACACTCGAACATTCAAAAATTCAAACAATCAACTCAAGCACTCAAACACTTAAACCTTAAAACACTCAAACCTTCAAACATTCAAATATTCAAACACAATGGCCTCTGCACCATAATGTGTGATCAATGCATATTTCAACGGTGAGACATACATTTGTCCCACCTCTAGGTTTTTGTTTAGAGACACCGAGAACATCCGATTTTGTTTAAACAGGAAAGCCAATTTCTTGTATTTCAAAAAATGATTGGAGGTCAAACTTGGACGAGGTCCTGTGACACAAATATTTTATCAAAATCCGTTTTTTTTTTGTGACAACCAAATAATATTTTATAAGGTCGAGGTTCAAGATGATGAGGACCTTCAGAATATGTTTCCAGTCATGAGTATTCTGGGTACGACTCTATTGAGTTGTACATTGTGCTGCGAGAGCCTCAGTTGTCATAAGTGGTTGATCCTCTTGACACCGAACAAGCAGAAGTAGATGTTGTTGACGAAGAAGAAGAAGATGACGAGTTAGAGTTTGACGACATGGTCAATGATGATTCTGAAGACTATGGGATACCTGGTATATCTCTGAATGAGATCTACATACCACATCCACACTTGACAAACTTTAACATGGGTGGAGATGAACCATCATCTGATTTTTTTTTCAATCCGTATATGCAGTCGGATGAAAACTTAAAAGAGAAAGACAAATTTCGTAATAGAGAAGATTGTATCTGAGCCATAAAAAAGTTTCACATGCTAAACTCGGTCGATTTTAAGGTAGATCGTGTAAATCCAGAAAGGTACAAGCTCGGGTGTGTCCACCCAGATTGTATGTTCAAGCTCACCGCATCATACATATTAAGAGGTGATTGTCGGGTCATAGGTTCTATGTCCACCCACACGTGCGTCAATTCTACTCAATCACAGGATCATCCGAAACTAAATTATGATCTCATATGTCAAGAAATCCAACCTCTCGTCAGCAACGATCTATCATTGAAGCTGAAAACCATAATCTCTCGCATCACAACTATATATAACTATACTCCGTCATACCGAAAGGCGTGGTTAGCAAAGACCAAGGCGGTTGAAAAGGTATATGGAAATTGGGAGGAGTCATACAAAGAACTTCCCTGCTACCTACATGCACTCCAGACTTATTCTCCGGGTACTGTTTATATTATGGAAACACTGCAGACATACGCCCCAGATGGTACTCATGTCACCGGAAATGGAATATTCAATCGAGTGTTCTGGGATTTTCAACCTTGCATCACAGGGTTTGCGTCATGCAAACCTATTATTCAAATTGATGGGACTTGGTTGTATGGGAAATACAAAGGCACGCTACTGATGGAAGTTGTACAAGATGGAAACAACAACATTTTCCCAATTACCTTTGCTCTAGTCGAGGGAGAGACTGGTGGTGCTTGGAGTTTATTTCTCAAGAATCTCCGAACACACGTGGCTCCTCAACCAAATCTCTATTTGATCTCCGATAGACATGTATCTATTGAGAGTGCATACAACAATCCTGCAAACGGTTGGCATGACCCTCTTTCTACGCATGTTTATTGCATTCGACACATCGTACAAAATTTCACGAGGGAGATCAAAGACAAGGCTCTTAGGAAAGCGGTTATGAACGCGGAATATGCATTAACACAACCTACATTCAAACACTATCGCAACGAGATCAGATTGTCAAATCTGGACGCAGGTAGGTAGAAATTACAACCGTCAAAATAATTTCATCTGACCCATGCATCATAAACGTTACGTCTCCGTCTGTTTTGACTTCCTCCAACCAAAAATTAGGTCTTTCTGTTGCAAGTGAGGTGGTTGTTCTTCTTCGCTGGATCCTTCTAATTTGTTCTCCATCCTCGATGTCTCCCTCTAGCCATCGCATCAACTCTCTCTTCAGATGCTCCATGGAGTGAATGTGTCAAAATTTTATTTTCATCGGAGATTTGGTGGCCGAGAAAATAACACAACCATCTCTGGTGAAAATTATGAGAGATGTCATGACGCAAATAACAGAGAAAAAATAAGAAGACGGTGCGAGAAAGTGTGAAGAATGACGGAGAAACAGGGGATTTATTTATAGAAAATATTATTTTACTCTGGGCGCCAAGTGAGATGGCGCCTCCTCTCACATTTAAAGTGCATGCGCCATCTCACTTGACTAAAAGTGAGAGCATATGCCAAGTGAGATGGTGCCTAGGACAAAAGAGCAAGTGTAGGCGTCAACTGGATTGACTCCTCCTTTGTGAAGTTTTCTAAAACATGATTATTTACGTAATTTTCTCTGAAACATGATTATTTACGATTTTTTTTCAAAACTTAATTATTACAAAAAAAAAAAAATTCTTTTGTTTTTCATTCAAAATTAGAAAAATAATAAATTATGGACTATCATATAACAATAATAATTGTGAGTGTTTTTTTTAATGTATTATTAAGGTTATCCTCTGCTAGTAAGTACAACACCATTTATGCTAAAATTTTATTAAAAAAACACAATCTAGTAAAGAAAAATCAATAACAATAACTAGTCATTACTAAAAAAAATATATTAAAGCATGAAAAAAGAATGTGATTCCATTCCAAGTGTAGAAAAGCGCAGGAAATCAGGTAAGTCGATTACCAAAGCACGTGAGTCAACGTGTTTTGTCAGCTATTACCTTTTAAGTCACGTGTCGTACAATACAACCCTTTATTGTCGGTTTCAACCTAAGAAAATCCATACACACTCCTCTTCACTCTAACTAGTCCCATCCCTTACCGTGGACTCACCCACACTATATCCCCTCCACCAGCAGCCAACGAAAAATGGACACGAAAACAACAATATATAGTGAGAGAGAGAGAGAGGGTTGTTATATTTCTATTATTCACCCAAACCCAAAATCACAATCAGAATCACAAAACCTTATTCAAAGGGATTTCCCCCAAATCTTCCATAGGAGAATTTTAGGGTTTTCTATTCTCAACTTTCTCCATTATTCTTCGGGATTTCCCTTACTTTATTTCTCTTCCTCGTCATTGCCGTTTTCTTCGCGCCACTCCAAACCCTTCAGGTTTTTTTTTTCGTTCTTCTTTAACGAAAATAATCGATAAATCTTTTTTTGCTTTTTGTATGATGCGTATTTTTTGTTTTGTTTGTAGAAGATAATTCTGAAGTGTGTCAGAATTGAGACAAGTTGTTGGTGATGTGATCTTGAGATTGTTGAGTGTGATTGATTTTTTGTGAAGCTGTTTTATTATTATGAGGAAGAAAAGGAAAGGAAGTGAGACTGATGCACATACGAATCTGGGTGATGTTGTTTTGCCTTTGGATCGTGGTTCTGGTTCTGTTGATTCGTCCAATTTGAAGTCGCATTATTCGTTGGAAGATTGTTGTAGGTTGAAGAAAAGGTGTAAAGAAGATGCTGGTACTGAGACTGCTGGATCTTTTAAGAGTAGGCTTGCTGGCATTGCGACTGCGCCGCCGTTTGGGACGTCGTCTTTGCTTACTCCTAGTAGAGGTTTAAAGAGGAAGATAGGTTGTATTGATGTTGCTACTCAGATGGGAAGGAAGAAGAAGATTGAGGATGATTATGTTAATGGTGAATCGATTGGGCAAGGGAAGTTTGGATCTGTTTATTTGTGTTGGTCTAGGGCTAGTGGAGCGGAATATGCGTGTAAGACTTTGAGCAAGGGAGAGGAGACGGTTCATCGAGAGGTTGAGATAATGCAGCATTTGTCGGGGCATTCTGGGGTTGTGACACTGCAAGCAGTTTATGAAGAAGAGGAATCGTTTCATCTTGTGATGGAATTGTGCTCTGGGGGACGGTTGATTGATCAAATGGTTAAGGATGGACCTTATTCAGAACAGCGAGGTGCTAACATACTAAAGGAAGTGATGTTAGTCATCAAGTATTGTCATGACATGGGAGTTGTGCACAGAGATATCAAACCTGAGAATATTCTGCTCACAAAATCAGGAAAATTAAAGCTTGCGGATTTTGGACTGGCCATGAGAATTTCTGAAGGTAATTTTCAAATCCTATGTGGATATTGTTTTCCTTTTATGTGTGTGAATGTATTTAACTTTGACCGAATCCTTTCATTGCGTTCTCTTGTTAAAAAAATATATCCACTAGGTATCTATCTGCATTGTGATTATCTATGTTCCACTGTACTTGCTTTTTGTGATTTCCTGTGACCATTGTTAACAAATTAATGTTAAGTGTTTATCACATCAGTTTTCAACTTGTACTCATGAATTTTTGAAGTGTTGTTTTTGCAACTTTTTGCAATTTCCATATATTCCATCATTAGTTTTTTTTAATGTCAGCAAGTTTTTAGTAATAAAAAATGGCGCGTTTTCATTTTACTTGGCTATCTCGCGCCAGTTTTCCGCGTTCATCAAAAATGGAATAAAATTAAACACTCACTTTGATCCTCCAGATGTCACTGTCGGCGCATGAATTCTCTACTGATTTTTTTGTTACGAAATTAATCACAGATTTAAATGGCAATGTTATTAATTAGTGGAGGGAGGTAGTTGATAGGCACCCGACTCGACCCGTCGATAAAAACACATGACCGATCTGTCCTTCAAAACACATGATCCGAAATAGTTAAACCTAATAGTAGATTAACCTCTTCGGCTCTTTAGCCCGTCTCAGATCATACTATTGAGCATCCTCATACCTGCTCTGTCAAACTCTAAAACCCATAATTTTGAACACGTGACATGACCCATTTAATAAACCCTAATAATAGAGTAATCTCTTTGGCCCTTCACTGTCAAACTATCGAGCAACCTCTTAATCACACCATTAATTCTTCAGCTGGAATACTCATTTATTTTCTTTCAGCCCATCATAGTTCATACAATTGTGCAGCCTCATACCTCCGCCATCAAACTCTAAAACCCGTATTCTTAAACATGTGACCCATATAGTAAACCTTAATAATAGAGTAATCTCTTTGGCTCTTCACCGTCAAACTATTAAGCTGCCTCTTAACTTTTCAGCTGGAATACTCATTTGTTTTCTTTCAGCCCGTCATTGTTCATACAATTGAGCAGCCTCGTACCTGCGCCATCTAACTCTAAAACCTGTATTTTTAAACACATGACACATATAGAAAACCCTAATGACAGAATCTCTTTGGCTCTCCACCGTCAAACTATGGAGCAGCCTCCTAATCGCTCCCCTTAACTCTTCAGCTGGAATACTCATTTGTTTTCTTTCAGCCCATCATAGTTCATACTATTTAGCAGCCTCATACCTGCGACATCAAACTCTAAAACCCGTATTTTTAAACACATGACCCATATAGTAAACCTTAATAGAGTTATCTCTTTAGCTTTTCACTGTTACTATCGAAAAGCCTCTTAATCACTCCCCTTACTCTTCAGCTGGTGACCTGGACTGTAGTCTCAGGCCTCTATTTTCCGACAAAGTTCATTTTCCACTTCTCGTTCTTCATCCCTTCTGTTATTATGATTTTCCTTTCCATCCTTTACTATTATGGTTTTTTTCCTCCTCTGTTCTGTACTATTTGAGCAATTTATTAATTTTTATGTTCTCGTATATTTTTGTTTTGTAGTAAGATAATTTAAGTTTACACTTCACAGTTCTTAACTTATTTTGTTAGTCTAAAAATTAATTTTCTGAGGTTTTTTTTGGCATAATTTTTGTGCATTATACTTTTTGGCATACTTTTTATGCATTATACTTTTTGGCTTGCTGCCGTGAACCGCCAAAACATTGTCATATTGGTCCTCCAAAACCATTATCACCCAATTTAGCCCCTCAAAGATGCATGATTATCAGCAAGTTAGTTCTTTACTATCACTACCTCAGTCTTTCACATGGACAAATATGGTGACTATTATTTTTCCTTGAGGGGCTAATTTGGTGAAATTTTCTTTTAAGAGCTAGCAAAGTAACTCTAATGTTTGGAACTAATTTGGTCAGAGAAGTTTTTGAAGGGCTAGTGTGGCAAGATCCCAATCTTTGGAGGGTAAATTGACGGTTTACTCTTGTAAAATGTGTTGGTGGTTTGGGACTGGGTCACAAGGAAAATGCTTGTATATGTTTGGACTTGTTCTTATGGTAGGGAAAAATTGTTTTTATTTTATTTCAAATAATTACAAACTTTATTAACACAGTTGACATATTTTAATCCGGTTCAGTTATCACTCAAAATTTATTTGCTAAAGCAGTGTCTTATAAGCTTAAAATTTGTTTCTCAGGTCAAAACTTGACTGGATTGGCTGGAAGCCCTGCATATGTTGCCCCCGAAGTATTGTCAGGCAAATACTCTGAGAAGGTTGATATATGGAGTGCTGGAGTGCTCCTGCATGCTCTGTTGATTGGCTGCCTTCCATTTCAGGGAGATTCATTGGAAGCTGTTTTTGAGGCTATTAAGACTGTCAAATTAGATTTCCAAGCAGGGATGTGGGAATCAATATCTAAACCTGCACGAGATCTTATTGGGAGAATGCTGTCAAGGGATACCTCGACCAGGATATCAGCTGATGAAGTACTTAGTAAGTTCATATGATAGATCATGAAAACTTGTTGTTCGGTGCCTCTGATTTAAATTTCTTCTATTGAAATTAAATAAAATGAAAGTTTTTTCTTATATTTATCTTTTGTTGTGCCAACTCAAGGAATTTCAATGAATTGAAGATTTGCCCAGTTACAACAAGCTTTACTGTTCAACCCTTTTGCACTGCTTGTGTTAATTTATCTTTTATTTTTTGGGTTAGAATGGTGAATCTGTTCATGCTCTAGTATACTATCTATTTCATTGCATGTTCCTTATCAATACCTATGATACTCTTCTCAGGATTCCCAAATATTTTTTTGAAGAAAACTTGGGGATAAAATATCATTTGATTGTTTTGAAGTTGTCTTCCTTGCATGTTATACTAAATGTTTGGTCTTCCAATTTCAGGGCATCCTTGGATTTTGTTCTACACTGCCCAATCTTTGACGATGCTGCCCATCAAAGCAAAATCAAAAAATCAAACTGGTGGCGCATGCAGACGGCTTATCCCCGCACCAGAACCTAGGTTAGGAGGAAACATGACAGATAATGGCTCACTTAGCGAGCTTTTAACCTCTGAAAGTTGCAATTCAGATGATCAGGATGACTGTGCGTTAATTGATGCACTTGCCACTGCAATTTCCCATGTGAGGATATCTGAACCAAAGAGGAGCAGGTTGTGTAGTCCCACCGGCCCCATAGTTCAGCAAGGTTCATCTAACATGAAGGCTAACAACCTTTGTAAAGCATTTTGACATAACGACAGGCTGACACCACTTGACTCTGTCTTTACTATTTTAGCTGTGGGAAAAAGTGGATTTTACATGCTGACATCCCATGTCAAGTTTGGCCTGGGTCTTCTCAGAATTCCTTTTTAGTGTGAGATATAATTGCAGTACTCCTACGTTTTTTTATCCCTTTGCTCGGTAACCTCAATAATAGTTGACTGACAACTGAAATAATTGTACAGCCTATGTAAATAGAGAATTAATCTATTATTTCCATGTTCTCTCTCCTCCCAACAGTAGAATATGTTTCATTTGATGCTGAAATTTTAGGGTAGTTAATTAAGGATCCTCTATGACAAAATGACTCAGTCGCATTATGATTCTCATGAAAAATTGGATTTGAGACAATAAGCAATGCAACTTGATTATTGGAAAGAAGTGTCATTGGTCTTGCCTTTTCAAATTTAAGCTCTTTGAATAATCGTGTCAACCATTTATTCTCACATGTTACTGCCAGTTGGACCCATATTCTTTGAATAATTGTGTCAACCATTTGTTCTCACATGTTACTATCACTGGGTCTGTTATGACACTATTTTAATATATGTGTAAAAATTTTAAACGAGGATGTAGATGAGAGCTTTTTCTGGAAATTTTTTGATGTGTTTCAAAATTTAGATTACAATATTCATTTGGTTTTGACCATGAGAATTTAAAATCTGACTTATCACACTATTTGCAATGGAAATATCTAGATGAGTGATTATGAAATAGAGTTCAATTTCGAAAGTTTGATATTTGAATTCATACGACTACTAATTGGCTTGGCGTTCAATAAAGTATAGACTCATTTCTTTAAGAATATTCACAGTAGATTTTTTTAGACTATTTTAATTGA